ATTCAGACGTGTTTAATATTACTCCCAAATGATATCTCAAAATCGACAAAAATGCCAGTTACGGTTTTGCCTCGGGACGGCCGTGGGGCGGCTCTAGGATATAATTTATGGAGGGGGGGACTAAGATGTCCGCCTGGGGGATAAGTATTTATGGGTGTAATTATAGCGCGCATCGTTATCTGAGGGCCTAAGGCCCGAGCCGGGGGTGGGTATTGGAGGGGGTTTGTCCCCTCCTCCCAAAACGAGATTTAAAAAAAAAATTGGGACTTCTAGATGTTCTGCTTGACTGATCAGACCCAGACAAAGTGATTGCTGAGACAGATTTGGCATGGGAAAGAAACTGGGGGTTTTTTTTCTTTTTTTGTTGGTCCTGCTACCTGATGAGCTTTGGCTGATGGAGAGGGGCTTGACCAGACCATCGCCCCTCCCCCCCTCCTCATCGCTGGTGCTACCCTTGGTCCAGATTACTCATATTTAAACTAAAATGGGTAACATTTTTAGAAAATGGGTCCAGATTGTTCATATTTTTGCGTAAAATGGGTCCACATTATTTGAAGTTATGCGTAAAGTGGGTCCACCCTAAAATTTTCCCGCACTTTGGCTGTAGTGTTTTAAGGTAGCAAGACTGAAGTTTAAGGTTGGGGTCAAGCCACCTCCACCACTAATCAACACCTTGGATTACAAATGTTTGTCGGAACAATATCCACAGCCATTGCCATGAAAAAAATCTGAAAAAAGATAAGATAAGATCTGATAAGATAAGATAACATTTATTGTCTAATAAAAGTACTGGAAATTTGTTTTGTTTTTTTTGTTCCTTTTTTTTTGAAAAAATCTAAAAAATTAAAATTGTGAATACTCATTTAAAAGGATCAAATTATAAAAATCACCAAATCAGAAACAGAAAAGAAAATAGCCTAGTTTTTTCTTTAAAATATTTGACTACAGTACAAACATGTTTATACACAATTTATGGACTAGCGTATACCTGGATTGCCTCTACTTTTGGGATATTCCAGTAATGTAAATAGACCCTCAGGCTCAAAACATCAGTATCATGCAAAGGAAAACAGAAAATTTATTATATTTGACTGTCCGTTAATTGAGGGAGAAAATGTTTACTCATTGTTTAATTATAGGTTAATAACTCACTTAAAATCAAATGAGGCAGTTTGAAATGTAGAATTTGTTTTAGCTCATGACAGACAGTATCTTTAATTAATTGTTTAATGTTTATATTTAATTGAATTCACAGAGAGCTAAACACAAATTTCTAGATTTTAACTTGGAATTTTTATTTCAGTTAGATAACTCTTTAGTAACACTCAGTAGGCCTAAATTGGCTGGACCTAGCATTTATGGAGTAGGCCTCATCTACTTGTAACCACTTCTAGGATGGTGGATAGGCCACCTCACCCACAAGCTTTGCTTTGAAAAGGTATTGCATATTTATTTCAGTAAAACAAGATGGCTGGAATAATTCGTAAATTGGATGAAACGGTTGTGAATAGAATTGCAGCTGGAGAAGTGATCCAGAGGCCAGCAAATGCACTAAAAGAAATGATTGAAAATTGGTGAGTATAGATCCACTGAAAGTTGCTAGCTTCCTCAGATTCTATTACAATGTGAGTTCAGGAAAATATAGGAGCAGGCATGAGTGAACCCACTTGCCCGACTTCACAATGTATTACATAATGCTTTCACGGTACTTACAAAAAGTCTTACTCTTGACAATGCGCAGCATATTTTATTAACAAATTGTCGGCGCACAAAGACATGTGAAACAGAAAACCGACTATGCCATGGTTACGCACAGCACTGCGTCCATCAAGTTAGAGTCCCCAACACTCCCGCAATTTGTTGACGGTTTAAAACTTGAAACAATGTAGGCCTACTCAATATAAAATGCATTATTTTCTTCAGTAAAGTTTGAAAATGAATTCTTATTGTTAAATGTTAGCTAGATCTGTCATATGTGTACACATTAAACAAACAGCAGGTACATATTTCGCACGATATCCTACCTGTTAGACATCAGCCGTCTGGCCTGCTGCACGTGGTCTGTTTACAATATAAATTCGCACTGGTCTAGTCTATAAATACCAGACATATTTAAAGACTTTGGGCGCACAGCCATTAGTTGATTAGTTGAGTTGGACGACATGAAATGCCTGGACTTCAGGACTAGTAATTACTTTTGAGTACGAATATGAACAGCAGCCATTCGGCCGACTTCACAAAAAGGCTAGTCTATTTAGTTTACGTGTGTGGGGAACGTGATCAGGCGACAGGCTAAGAATGGGTAGTTAAATTGGGATTTAAGCTTGATAAAGTAATTAAAAAATCATTCACTTCTAAGTGATGGAGATAATGTGCATATAAAATCCTAATCTTGTAAAACTGGAGTTAAAAATTGAGGGTTTAGGGCATATAAATGAATCATTTTCCCGTCTCAAAAATTTCGCCGTCTGAGAGATTCTCTAGAAGGGATTCATCCCCTCAGTCCATGCTCAGAGTTATATAGGCCTACATACAGTGCTTTTCTTTCGTTGAGAAGTAAGCAATTTTATTTTTTTTGCAATAAATGAAATGAAGATGTGTCAGGCTGTAAAATATTCTCCACGCAAAATATTAAGTCCAGAAATCCGTCGCTGCATTTCAAAAATATGAGCCAATTTCCACCGATGTTTTGCAGAAAATTGAGGCAGGCCTTGATAGTAAGAACACAAGTATTTACGATTCTGTGCATCTATTTTTCTAGAGGTTTTCCCGTGCAATTTTAATTAGTTTTTTTTGTATCCTCCGCAAAATCAAAAAGTGCATTTGAAGATTAAGATCTGCAAACAGGTACAAACATACAATATGGCCACCCGCACCTACACATCTAGATGTCCCCTCAAAAAAGAAATAACGTCGTAAAACACAGTCGGTGTGTGGCTGAGAATTTGTGTATCATGGGAATCAACCATGCCTGAGAAATTTTTACATGCAGTTGTCATGATGACGGTTTTCAAACATGCAATAAGAAAATGATCAACACTCTACAATACATACAATATTATTAATAATGTTTATTTTATTTGTATTTCTCCATATTATACATTATTGAAATTCTTGCAAATTAAAAAAAGAAAAATAAAAAACATTTTTGCGTGATCAATGCAGTATGCATGTAAAGTAGGCCTATTTATGTTATAGAGCCATAGCAAAACTTTTTTGTGTTATTTTTTATGATTATAACCGAAAGGTCCGCTGATTAATCTCAGATAAGAAAGTATAATACATACTCCAAGTATTAAATACACGCCATCGTGTTGGGATTCAATATTTCGACATTAATTATGTCATCGTCAGGAATGATTCTGATGATGGAATCATCCTGATGATGCATAATTAATGTTGAAATATTGAATCCCAACATGATGGCGTGTATTTCAATACTTGGAGTATGTATTATACTTTTTTATGATTATTACGCAACAATATTGGGACAAGTAAAATTGTCTTCAGGACAAGTGCTTTTTTAAAAGGTACTTGTCCGGGGACAAGTGAAAAAATATAAAATTTTCTCATGCCTGTAGGAGTGAGGTTTTGGCCAAATAAGTTCCCAAATATTTGCGAAAAAGGTTTGCATGTGATTCGGGTGGGAATCGAACCCATGACCCCTAGATAACTAGCCTGGCGCCATAACCACTAGACTACCGAGCTTGCTCTTAGTGGCTAGTGTTGAATTTGATCCCCAAGCAGTGAGTACTGCAAATGCTATTCCGATGTGAGTTTGTGTCAGGAAAATATCATAGGAGTGATGTTTCGCCCTACCTGATAATCAGTGCTTTCCCAAATACTTGTGACCGGTTCAGGTCTAGTTATAATATTGATACTCCTGCTTTGTACTAGTCTTGTTAAAAACATGTTTTTCTTGATTATTTTATTCTTAGTCTGGATGCTAAATCCACCAGTATTCAGGTAACTGTCAAAGCTGGTGGCCTAAAATTTCTTCAAATCCAAGATAATGGATCAGGGATTCGGGTAAGCCATTAAATTTGTTCCAAACACAAAATACAAAATAGAATAAGCTTGTCCTTTGTAATGTTACACACTTCTTAAGATTGGAAATTATTTTTTTCAGAAAGAAGATATGGAAATAGTTTGTGAGCGATTTACAACAAGTAAATTGAGAAATTTTGAAGACTTAACCAGCATCTCAACTTATGGCTTTCGAGGAGAGGTAATATGTCATAGGAATTTGTTATTCAATTGATAATAATTACTGGAAATCAATCCACAGCAATCAATCATTGCATGTCAATAAATCAATTGTTGCATGGGAGCCAACCAATCAATCAATCAATCAATCGACCAACAAACCAATTGATTTGATTAATGAATAAAGCAATGCATATCAATCAATGCATTTCACACTAGAGCAGTCACGCCATAGAGTGCATACCTCCACCCTGTGCCTGTAAGTCAGGCTCCAGATGAAAAAAAAAATTGTTATGTTGTAGTATTGATTTTTCTAAGACAGAAAAAAGTTGTCTGACGAAAAACCGGGGACGGTGAATGAGATACAGAATTTTGAATATTTAAAAACTGGGGGAAAAATGGGCGTAACTGCCCTTTTTTACACCTTTTCCCTCAGTATCATTCACCGTTCCCCAGTTTTTTGTCAGACAACTTTTTTCCGTCTTAGAAAAATCAGTGCTACAACATATCAACAATTTTTTCTCCTCCGGAGTCTGACTTTAATACAGTACAAAAAATATGCAGGCTGTGTATAATGGGCGAAACTGCAGTATACTATGGCCCTCAATGAAATAATGGAATTAATTCAGGCACATTCATTTTTTTGTGCTGCAGAATACCCTCAAGAAAATAATGGAATTGCTTGTTGTATTCAGACACACTGTTTTTTTTTTAGTGCTGCCTGAATAAGTGGGTGATTCCATTATTTTCCTTTATGCTCAATGGTAAAAAATTGAATTTGCTTCACCCTGACCTTTTCTTTTGACCTTTTCATTCGAAAATTGAATGGTGTTTTTCTTCAATTATTATGCAACATTCCACAAAATTTTATGATGATCCATTCATTAGTTTTTGCCTAATCATGCTGACAGACAGATTGATTAATTGAATGGCAGACAGGCAGACAGCAGTGAATACATAATATCCTTGGCGGAGGTATTAATCTTCAGTGAATGCATGCTAGATTCCTGATGATGACATAATTAATGTCAAAATATGGAATCCCGACACGATGGCGTGCATTTCGATACTTGGAGTATGTATTACACTATCCTACCTGAGATTAATCAGTGGACCTTTTCGGTGCATGCTAGAAAGTGCATATGAATCAGTCAGCTAATCAATTCCAGTGTTTATAAATTAAATAATCCATTTATGTTGACTGAATATTGTTACTTCCAGGCCCTTGTTAGTATCAGTCATGTTGAAAAGTGCATATGAATCATTAATATTATTCAAATAGTCCATTTATGTTTAAGGCCCTTGCAAGTATCAGCCATGTGGCTCATGTCACTATAACAACCAAAACACAAGATTCCAAGTGTGCTTACAAGTAGGTGGCAAATTTAATTTGTTAGTGTTTTATGAGAATTTCCTCAAAATGATCCATTAGCAAATACAGTAGTTCCTGTAGGCTATGTCTTTACTAAAGCAATTTATTTATAGACAGTTTATAGATTAAGACTACTAAGAATTACATTGTAAATTATATCCACAATTTGTATTTTAAATTGTTAGTTTTTTTATGAGAAGTACCAGAACATAAAAATGCTATAACATGATCAATAATAAAAACACAAAAGTATGTTTTGAATTATGATGAATAAAACTATAATAAATGCAACTAAACAGCACATTGATTAAGACTAAAAATAAATAAGACATAATTGATAATGGTTGCTAATGTATTACTTTCAATACATTGAAATAATAATTTTTACTTTTGTTTTGTCATTGTAATTTTCTTTTAAGAGGGTCATATTTGGATGGTAAACTAAAATCTGTGATTAAACCTTGTGCTGGAAATAAAGGCACCCAGATTACGGTAGGAAAGCCTTATTTATGAGTACAATAGTTAGTTTTATTGTCGTTGCCATTGCTGCTGCCATTACTGTTGTCACTGCTGCTGTTATTTTATTGTTTGTTCATAATGAAAAATATATTCTGTAAGCATTGATTTGCATGTTTCTGGTAAATGGTAATACTGTACACATAAACTGCATAATACTGTAAATTGTCTCTGACCACAAGCCAATGGCAAGATGAAACTCCTTTGCAAGGGATTGTATACTTAAGTCATTCTTCTGAAGCAAGACGAATAACAACACGATAGTGTTAAATGCTTCTAGACATTTGCATATGTAACAAAACTGTATGTTAAAAATTTCGTTTCAGGTAGAAGATCTCTTTTACAATATTGCTACAAGAAGGAAAGCATTAAAAAGCCCAAGTGAAGAACATGCTAAAGTTACAGAAGTAGTCAGCAAGTATGCTATCCATAACTCGGGTGTCAGCTTCACTCTTAAAAAGGTAAAGACACCTGTCCACATGTAAAAATTGTGGTAATCCCGCAAAGAGTTGTAACTATTATTTATTTTGTTTCTTGCCTTTCTTTCATGGTTTTGCCTCTTTGTCAATTAATTATGTTCTCATTTGTAATTTTCAATTTTTTTTGTAACACATTGTAAAAGAATCATAATTGTGTAATGCTGTACAGTATTTATATAGTAATTGTAATCATTGAAACTTTTTTTTTTTTTTTACCCCAACAGCAAGGAGAAAGCAGTGCCGATGTCCGTACTTCTCAGAATGCCACCATTGTTGACAACATCAGAATTATCTACGGACCATCTGTTGCTAGGCAAGTTTTTTTATTGATCAAATAAAGTCAATGTCTCATAACATATTAGCATTAAATTGCTGTCACCTTTGCAATCAGGGAAATGATGAAAGACTTACCTAGGATTGACAGTAGTTATCATTCCTAATTCCTGGTTTCTTTGAAGTGTTGAAGTGGCAACATTGCTGAGGTTGTTTGTGTTTTGTATGACCAGGGGTGATGATTATTTGCACCATACATTATGTCCCTAGATTGCATATAATCTTTATCAGCGTCGTCATACTTTCAATATTGTCGTTGCCAATGTTGATGCCAACACAGCCACCGCCCTATCTTCATCACCACCAGCACCATTATCATCATATCATCATCATCATCATAATTATTATTATGTATGCAGTTGTAATGAATATCAATACATTAAGTTGCAACTTATATAATATATAGATAGAATTGGCACAGTTAATTTGTGAAAATTAATGCGTTATTAAATCAAATATTACAGAGAACTTATGGAAATATCCCAAGAAAATCCGAAATTAGGATACAAGTTGAAAGGTCACATCACAAATGCCAATTATTCAGTGAAGAAATGCATCTTTTTGTTGTTTATCAACCGTAAGTTATTCATTTAATCACCGATTTTTGATGTTCTATGAACCAATTTATATTAAAGGGCTGTGGGAATCAAGAGAGTAGTAGTGAGGGAAATATCCTAGGTGACAAGTGGAGACTGAATTTGAGACTCAAAAAACATTGTGTATGGTATTTCATTTTAATTGCTAGCATTCTAGGCTAAATGTTGGTTAAATTGTCTTTTTATCATCATAAAAAATAACTCTTCTGCAAACCTCGTAAAGGGGTTTGGTTGTTGACCATCAAGTTTCATTGACCATCAAGTTTCAATCAGTTATCATTAGCTATTTATTCCACAAGTCTCATAAACTCCACAAGTCTCATAAACAGACTTGGTAGAGTATTGAAAGTGTCAAATGATCAGTTCTCCATCCACCCTCTAGATTTGGTTGTAGAACATTAAGGATACCATTTCTGAAGACTACTGAATACATATTTAGTTTAATAAAGATATTTGCTATTTAAAATGTAATAAAATTGTTAATACAGTACAATATCAATCGTTTGATGTAAATTTTGACGTTCCAGCACTTGGAGACTTTGTATTTTGCACACTATAAATTGAAAACCATTTACCATTTAAATGTACTTTGCTGCTGTTGAATGCTAAATTATTATTATGTAAAGTATTTATGTGCTCTTGGCAGATCGTTTGGTTGACTGCTCATCATTAAAGAAGGCAATTGAGACTGTATACGCTGCTTACCTGCCTAAACACATGCACCCTTTTATGTACATGAGGTAGCTATCAACATTGCTGATTTACTCCAAACTATAATGTCCTGTACAAGATATCAACTTATGAAGATGATCTTAGAATAAAAAATATCTCTCAAAAACAGCTAATCTTTATGTATTGATAGTAAATAATCCTTCTTATAATATAAATTTATTTACATATATGTGGTAAATGACAAACCAGTCACTCCTTGCAAAAAAAAAGAAAATCAATTTTTAGTTATTAATACAGGGTTAAAGTTGTAAAATGGTAAAAGAATCATGCAAATCCAACATTCTGTTATTAAGTTACAGAAGTTTAAGCATGCAGCTGTTTAAAAAACAGTATTTTGAGAAATTAGCCTTCAAAATTTACGATTTCAGAGATTTCTTTTGCAGAGACCATTACCAAATCATTAAGCAATGTTGTTTTAATGTCAAAAATTGGGAAAATAACAACATAGCATGATGAATAGATATGTATTATAAAGGTTAGTTTAGTGCAAAAAATAGATTTTGAAAAGTTTGACATTCAATATGTTCAGGCCATTATCTCTGAAACACGATTTGTGATTAGTGACTGGTTCCGTTTTTCTTCCCCACATATACTTAATAAACATTTTCTATATTGTGAGAAAGCCTTTTCAAATCAGCTTTTAAAAATATATAAATAAAAACAATATATAAACATAGTTTTATAATTCAAAATATATTTTGTTAACTATTCCATGTTATTAATGAAGTGATTTATTTTTCTTTCAAAGTTTAAACATCAATCCTGCAAATATTGATGTGAATGTCCATCCTACTAAATACGAGGTACACTTCTTGCATGAGAGCGCTATCATTGAGGACATACAAAAATGCGTAGAACAGAAACTTATCGGCTGCAATGTTTCTAGAACATTCTTTGCCCAGGTAATGTCAGTTACTATTATGAATTAAGAATACCTGTACTGTTTAATAGTTGGTTTTGTAATTCTCCAACCTCAAATTGAGAGCCTATAAGTTAAAGGATATACGCTGTTGCTGTTGTTATGCCCTTGTCACCATTACATTGTGATAATAGTCAAACTATGACCAACAATGGATCAAAGCAATAATTAAGCCTTCCTTGAACAGGCTAAGACCCCTTCAGCCATGACTTGTCGCGTTGAAAAAATTCTTTTGGTATAATATGTTATTCAATGTCTTAAAACATTTTATGCCACTGGACTCCCTTCAGGGCTTTTTCCCCTAAACCCTGAGAGGGGCCTGGTGTTCCCGTTAGCCTCCACCAGAATGTTAAGTCTCCATCTGACAGAAAGCTGTCAGATGGGGTCTATGTACAGTATATCCTGCTGAGGGGTCCAGGAGGCTGCACATTACGTATTATTGTTACTGTTTCCAATGATGTAGGAAAGCACTATTTAATGGCATTGAATACAATACTATTAATAAATGTCATAAGACCACATCTCAAATTATGTCATATTTTGTTGGCAGTTCTATTTGATATCCTTATACTACCTCTTATAATTATCAGTTGTACCACATTTAAATGACTTGATTCATATTTTCTCTTAGACTCTTTTACCTGGATCTCAGATAAATGTTAAGGAGGTCACTAAGAGTTCAGAAGATCAACCAGGATGTAGTTCAAAGGACAAGGTTTATGCGCATCAGATGGTACGCACTGATGATAAGTTACAAAAGCTTGATGCATTCCTGAGTGCAGAGAAATCAAGTATGCAAGTTACACAACCAACAAATGAAAAAAAGGACACCCCTGTTATTTCAGATAACTGCTCTAGCAAAAAAGATGACTTCCCTATTAACAAAGATGGTTACCCTAGCAATAGAGGTAGTCAACTAGATAGAGTTGATAATCCTATAACTAGCAGGTACCAACCCATTCTTTTTTGTTCATAAGTTAATATAATTTTAATGGAAAATTTATATTACAATATTAAGATAGAGATTGTCAAATGAAGATTAAAATGTTCTAAAAGGCAGAAAAGTATATTATGAGCTTGTAGAAGCTACATGTCGCATTATTCCAGTCACATTGGGAGTTGATGATGTATTACATTCTTTTCATGTTGTATTTTTCTTACAGTGATCATGTATTTGTTTACTATTTTGCTCAGTATTTTGCTTATTTTTAAAATATGTATAGAAAAAGACCACATGAGCTTTGTGAAGAAGACAATGATAAAGAACTGCATGGTGGTAGTAGTTGCAAAAGCAGTGGCACTTCCTTGCAGGATGCACCAGTGCTGAATGATCTACGCAACCGATCACATCATCATCCAATCCGCCTAACAAGCGTTTTACAGTTACAGCAAGACGTAGAGGATAAATTACATAAAGGTATATAACTTCTCTGTATGTTTACCCTCAAATCTAATATGTTTATAGAAAATATTTTTGTATACTAGAATACTTATATTCATTATTTAGAAGAATATCAAATTTTGAAATAATTATAAGCAAGATTAATGTCAAGGTTTAATCCTAAAATTAATTAATATGATAATACCTTAAGGTGTTCTATGAGACCATTGAGTTTAGTCATAGTAAACATACAACTCTTAATATTGGATGGGGAAGCTATCTTGGCTTTAATTATAAAGTGCAGTAAGACATATAATTATATACTTATATATTATACTCAAATTTTTGGTCCGTCTAGACCTTTCTTCAAGCGTAGTCCGATTGTTGTCTAACGTGTGAAACATTTTTTTTTGTTAGGTCTGCGAGAAATTATCAAGCACCACACGTTTGTTGGGTGTGTCTCATCCCAGCATGCATTGCTACAACACCAAACCAAACTTTACCTTGTAGATACAGCAAAGCTAAGGTATTGCAATTGTTGTTGTTTTGTATTGATTTATTCAAAAGATGAAAACAATGTCCAATGTAGTAAATTAAGCTTCTAAGGTGATATTGTAACAATGTCCATCACCTATTTTCTTTTTTCTTTTAATTGAATGAAATGGTTACTTTTTGTTTATATATTTTTTTTTAGCAAGGAGCTGTTTCATCAACTCCTGTTATTTGATTTTGGCAACTTTGGCTTTATGAGGCTTTCTGTAAGTATATGGATGAATTTTGTGGCACCCTAAATGCCACGGTTGCACACTCATCATTTTGCAATAGTACATATCACCATTATTCACCTTTGAAAAATGATAATCATTGCTGATTGGTCAATTATCCTTTTAAGAAAACAAAATGAATTTAATGTTTTTATTAAGAAATTGTCAATATAAAACATTCCTAGTATTTATTTACAACCAATAATGAAACAGCTTCATTGTAAAGATGTTACTAAAAATATTCTGTTATTCTTATTTATTTATTAATTATGTTATTAATTATGAACTAATTGTTTCATTTTACCCCTAAATCTTATATTTTTTCATAATGATGTACTGTTACTTCTTATTACTACCATAACAACTATCTTTAAATTGAATTGCCAGATGCCAGCATCTATACATGACCTAGCATTGTTAGCATTAGACTCTGACAAAAGTGGTTGGACAGAAGCTGATGGAACCAAGGAGGAGTTGGCCAAATACATTACCGACCTTCTATCATCGAACGCTGACATGTTAAGGGACTACTTCTCTATTGATATCAACAAGGTAAAGTTACTTTGTATCATGCTTATTGGTATATAGAAGCGCAGACCTTCTCTGAAGTGAAGGTCTTTCAGTTGAGAGGTTGTAAGTGCGAGTTAACCTTGTTTGTGTCGGGTGGCAGGAATGCTATGTAATGTTTTAAAGTTAAGGAATCTGTTCTGTGTTCTCTTTTTTCAGGAAGAGATGTTATGTTCTTTACCGTTGCTACTTGATAACTACGTACCTGCTTTGCAAGGTCTACCAATGTTTATCCTTAGACTTGCCACTGAAGTAAGTATGTATTCACAAGTGACCTGTTCAACCAGTATATTTGTTTTTTAATGATTAGTCATTTTAAATAAAGATTATTATATTACAGTATTTGTTTTAATTGTTATTATCTTTTATAATAACAATATTTTCTTTAATTTTTCCTCTCAGGTTTGTTGGGATAGTGAGAAAGAATGCTTTGATACATTTTGCAAGGAGTGCAGTACATTTTATGCTGTACAAAAGAACCTGCCCATGAGTGTAAGTTTACAATGATACTGAGGCACTTAATTTGTAGAAACCTAATTTATGTAAGCATTATAAGGCGAGACTTGTCTGTACCTTGTTTAGCGAACCCATTGCACGCAAATAATGACGCTTTTGATAAAAATAACATTTTGTTTTTGGCCAATTAGCGTACCCGCTGCCACGAAGAATGGAAATTAAAAAATAAAAAAAAAGTTCTTTATTACGCCCTCCGCTGCCTTGAAATATCCAATGAAAACATATGTATATTTCTTTCTAATTATATAATTTAAATCATTTAACCATCCCATTACTACACTGGTTACATTTACCAAGAACATTTTATTTTTAATTTCTCTTCCATTTGGAAGTTTTTGGCAAAACTATTTGCTAAATAAGAAAACAAAACTTTATTTTTTTTCCGCCCTCTGATTATCTTTTAAAAAAAATAAGTTTGCGAAACAAGGTATAAAAAATGTCTTGCCTAATCTAAGTAAGCACTCTCAGTCAAAGTAAGAACTAATTATGTAGTTAAAGTGTTGCTTCAGATAAGCCTGATACATTTTACAACCTCATTCATTGCATAAGCGAAACAATCAGTAAGTTGTACATTTGATACATTGTGATGGCAGCTTAGCTCAGTTGGCTAAACTTGTGATTGTCTGCACTGAACCATGGAGATATTTTAACCTTGTTCCCCAGTGAAACCCATTGGCTGCTCTATATGTATTTTAGCTGGGGCAGGGGGTTGAAATACAAAGCACCCTATTTGTGATGAGACTTTCCAGTTGGTCCCAAGCTATATGGGGCCTTGTGCATGTTAAAGACCACAGTACACTCTCTGGAAAAGAGTAGAGGATTGCCTCTTGGTGTACTTCCCAATTCACCACCAGAAGGACCCACAGTAAACAATTCTTGAGAATCTTGGGCTTGGTTAGGAATCTGCTTGTATTTCACACTGAATAAATCCAAATGCATAATAATAATTAAGGTCTGCCAGTCAGTTTGTACCATGTATATATTACTTGTTCAATAAGGTCTTTGTGTCTATGAATCTCTAATTTTATATTTCACAGGAAAGTCAGAAGGAAAGGAGCGATGATTTCCCATCATACAACTGGAAGTGGACTATTGAGCATGTTGTTTATCCAGCATTGCGAGATCTTCTTATCCCTCCCCATAGCTTTATTGAGAATGCCAGTGTTTTACAAATCGCCAATCTACCTGATCTTTATAAAGTATTTGAGCGTTGCTGACCCAACTGTCTAACTGCCTTTTTTTTATTCTATGCAAGAATAATGTACTTCAATGGAAACTATGTCTGGAAAACAGTTTTATTACAGGAGTGAGTTTTGACACAGTTTAGAGGAAACAATGATTTTTAATAAGAACCATAAGAATTGTGGTTTTAGCTGTTGTTATGTACAAAATTAAAAACAATATAATTGTTTCAGTTCATGTATTACATACTAGAGTGCCTATTTTTATTATTGATCTTGCAATCAATTTATTTACTTTTTTGTGTTCTGTCAACCTGACAATAATGTAAATTAAAGAAATATTTATACTGTACATTAAATGTTTATACAATAAATAATTAATGTAGTATCTTCCTGTCACTTTCTGTCTCATTTCACTTTATAAATTGACATAGTTGGGGCCAGATCCATAATTATTGTTTAAACAGAGTGTGGAACCACATGAACTAGGATTAAGGTGGGGCATATTAACCAGAGAAGGTCTGTGGGAATATAGAAAAGACCACAGGAACAAATAAATAGGGATGAGGGGCACATAAATAGGGGAAGAAACATGAAAAAGGGTAGGTACAGGTGCACATGAACTGGGTGTGTTCACAGGGACAGGATTGAGGGCAGGGCAACACGGACAGAGGGGAGACATGAATCGGAAGCAGTTTGGCACAGCAAGAATGGTTTGGTTTTCGAACCTTGAGGTCGGGGCTTCAATCCCTCCCTCTGCACTTTGCTTGTGTCTGAGCAAGGCACTTTATATGTGTTACTTCTCTCCACCCATGAGTATAAACTGGTACCTGGTGGGGTTGCCTGTTACTACACCAATTTGACTGCAACACTTCCAGCATGAGGCCCAATGGCCAGGGAAAACAGAGCACTTTGTAATTTAAAGGAAAAGCTGTATAAATACTGTACCAATAACAAATGAATGGATGCGGGATCACATGAACAGGAAGGGGCTATCATTTCGTTGCAAACTCAACTTGCAAGTTAGCAAATGGTAGCCTTGTAGGTCTACCAGTTTTTGATGGATTTTTCGAGCAGTGAATAAAAAGAATAATAATGAATGCTTGCGGTACAGCATGTAGATAGTTCTAAAATTGTTTTTAGAACAGTCATGGGAAAAAAACTAAATTTTGTTCATAATCGCTTTGTAAACATCATCAACCGCATCCGCACCTTTGCAGATTGTCCAGACTTATTATTAAACCATGATTACTGTATTTTAAGGATGTAAAGTACTGTCGGCCCAAAAAATCTGAAAAGCCGTATAATTCGATATATTTTTTTATATAGCGCATTTAAATAGGATCAAATATGTTATCTTTCAACCAGAACAGAACAGATTGAAAATATAGGTTTCGCTGAGTTACAGACATTTTACATTTATTTATTATTTTTTAAAAATTTCTTTATTTGTTTTGCTCCAAGGCCAATGATACAAGACAAGATGTACGAGGAGATGTACATTTTATTTTTGTTATATTTGATTTGTTACACAGACAGCGATATAGTAAGTCTAAAAACCATGTTGAAACTTTTGAAAGTTCTGCCCATTGTTCGCAATGCGAGGGCGCTATCACTATAAGCCAAGCATCATGCAGAGCATGGAGAAATCATATTCATAACAATCCTTTTGCTATGATGATTTTGTTTATAAAACCGGTTTAGGCAGAAATTATTTAAAGGTAAACATTCGAAAGCAGAATCCACTACATCATCCCACGAATGCAAAGATTCATGTAGTGTTATGCATACGCAGAAGCAAGCTAAGCAGTCCTACTTCTACTACAGGCTAGGCTAGGCCTCAAGGCTAGCCAAGGCCAAAAACACCCAACTCTGAGGCTACATGGGCCTACCTGTCCTAGCTAGGTTAGGCCTGTACTAAGTACTTTCCTAGGCCTACTATAACACTAAACACCTGACATCGTCTTTCCCACATGATTTAACTTTCTATTAGCTAGTTGACTGCCATTGCCAGCAGTACCATATGAGGTTTTCCCAGGCGGGGTGGGGGGAGCCTTAGTTTTTACTGGAGCTAGACCTAGGCCTGGCCCTAGACTAGATCTGTACTTTGTCCTCCACCAGGCAAGATTGTCATATATAATATTAATTAAGGAGACATTCAACAGGTGCCCACTGAATTAGTGAGGTAATGGGGTAGTGAGGTAAAAGTTCAGTCCAATGGTTTTATTGATTTGGCCTATATTCGTAAGTTATCTTAATTAATACTATATAAAATCCCTTTTGGCTTTTTTTTTTTTCTGGTTATAATGCAAAGCGTTTATTTACTATTCTACTGCATGATATATACAATATATACTAGTAAGGTTGTGAGACATAGTGTCTCCTTCAAGGTATCAGAAGGAAGTCTTCTCTAGATAACTAATACTTTACTTTTCATACAAGCTTGGGGTGTGGTGGACTTTCTCTGATTGGTTGAAAGATATCACCTTATCCTAATCATTTGACTATTACATCATTTTGGGGAATTTCTATTGGTCAGATAATATAACAACTTTGGGGGTAGAACTTAACTTATATTTAGTAACGAGCTGTCTGTCAATCAAGCTTATTTTATAAATCAAATGTAAGGAGTTGACCACTTGGGCTTTTTGTCATGAATTGGCTATTGTCCTGTCAAAGACTTCATATATAATAATTAAGGAGACATTCAACAGGTGCCCACTGAATTAGTGAGGTAATAGGGTAGTGCGGTAAAAGTTCAGTCCAATGGTTTTATTGATTTGGCCTATATTCGTAAGTTATCTTAATACTATATAACAGTAAATGCTTGAATAAGCGCTGCGGCTTTAATAACCTTTTTGGAGGCTTCAGTGCAGCGCTTATAAATTAAAAATATATTTCCATTCCCGTTCCCACGTCATGTTAGGCCTACCTATTTCAGGTATTCCCGGAGTAGGAGAGCGGCGCTTATTCGAACATTTACCGTTATACTGTTTTACAAAGTTGGATTTGTATTGTTGAAACTGTGGAAGAAGACCTTTTTGTACAAAGTCAAAACTATTCCTTCCTAATTATGAAAATTTAAAGCATTTAACTATCCCATTACTACACTGTTTTACATTCACCAATAACATTTTATTTTTACAGTATTTTCTCCTCCATCTGGATTTTTTTGACAAAAATATGCTAATAAAAAAACAAAATTAAGTTTTATATTTTTTTCCACCATCCTCTAACAGTCTTAAAAACAAATAAGTTCACAAAACAAGGTATAAAAAAAACCTTGCCAAACCTAGCCCTAGTTACGCTAGACTACTGTTTTACTTTAATTATTACATTTTATCATTGACATGAGATCTACCATGGTTTAATCATTTTTGCACAAATCTGACAAATTGCATAATATAATAACAAATCTATTCCGATTGTGGGCAATCGGCCGGGAGGTACTGCTGTTATGCACCGTTTGTAAAATTTGCACAATACCACTCACATCTAACAAAAAATAGCAATACCACTTCGATTGTGACAATATTAATTTGAGGCTATCGATTGATAATGAGTTCTTATTTTAGATAGTGGAAATATGAAACTGAAAGAACTTGAAAGCTTTCTGCAAGATGTGGATGTATTTGATGAGCCAAAAGTCTGGTTGGAACAGTACCCAACAACACCACATATAGCAGGTAATATCATGAAACAGTTGCATAATTCAAACTTGTTTTGTAAATAATTTAACTTTAGTACAGCTTGTCATTAGTACCTGTGGTGCATCTGGGGTGGGGAATGGGTGTGGCAAGTAAGAATGGGTGTAATCCTCCCAGAAAAAAATGTGCACCTTCCCATGAGCTACCAGACAAGACAGTTGCAAAAAAGGTGAAAATCACTACTCACTTCTATCCAGCTAGTACCCACTCATTTTTTCATTGTTTTAACCAATACCTCTCCCACATACTTAATACTCTAATAATAATAATAATGGTCGACTTATAGAGCGCATATCATAGAGACCTCTATGCGCTTAACATAAATATGAATACAAATATAATGATACTTAACTAATCCTACTCCTTAAACTAAGCATGGTTTGGCCGTTGGCTCCAAGGAGTTCATCTTTGTTCAGCTATTTTTCTTATTGCTGCTGGGCGACCATTCACCCTCCCATCCAAAGGCTGCCAAGTCCGTAGATGGGGCTGCCAGTAATTCGCCGGCGATTCGAGTGGATGCATTTTAACATCATACCCAGGACATCTTAACTACAACTAACACTAATCTTTACTACCAAAATGTAACTTAAACTTAAACTCTACTCATACATATGAGTGTTACATATACAGTAGTACAATACATTCAATTTCGTATTCGCTCATCATTCGGATTGTTTTGATTTAATTACGTAGGTTCTGTATTGTTTTTCTGTAGCACGAATGCTGCACACGATAGACACACGGTACGGTGACATTAAGGGTAAGCTGGTAGCAGACCTTGGGTGTGGGTGTGGTGTGCTGACCATTGGAGCTGCTATGCTTCAAGCAGGGTAAGTTCTCGTTAATTGAAATTGTTCAATTTTCAAAATCTTTTGTTCAGAATTTGTACTGCTCAACATTCTTTCAACTACAGTATAGCTATAAAGTCTGAATATATAGTTTGCATACAAAACTTATTCTACTATTGCAGTGCATTGAGAGAGATTAACAATTTTTGTTTCTGCAGTTTGTGTATAGGGTTTGATATTGATGATGATGCATTGGAAACCTGTCGTATGAACTGTAGTGAGTTTGAATTGACCTGTGTTGGACAAGTGCTATGTGACCTTGCTCAACTTGCTCCAGGAAGGTGGCTTAAAGCATTTGATACCATCATCATGAACCCTCCATTTGGGACTAAACGAAACAAAGGTAAAGAGAACCAAAAGAAAATGATAAAACTCATAAATCTTGGTTACCATGATAGTTAATGTTTCTGCATTCCAATTTTATAATATATATAATCTGTCTCTTATACACATCTAGATGTGTATAAGAGACAGCAGTGACTAAGCTGCTCTCTCTATCTTGTATCTTGTATATTGAAACTAGGATATATATTTTTGGTGGGGGCTATGCTATCAGACTGGTTCTGAGTCATGAGATAATAAATTGCACGAGCTGGGGGAGGGTTTGGGAGGGGTGTCCCCATCCAAAATGATATATTTTTAAAATACTAGGGACCTCTGGATGTCTGGGAAAGGCACTCTCAGAGTGTGAGAGTTCCATCCGTTGACTTGGCGTATTGATATGATATTTCTTAAGTTGGCCTTGGATATGGCAAGAACATCAGTTTATTCGCTTCACAAAACAAGCACACGGGAGGCAAGTACCGACCTTATTAAGTCAATTAAATAAATTAGAAGTGATATAGAAAAACACAATGAAGTGCCTGAAAGAAACCTGTGTATAAAACAAAGTGCATAATATATATTCATATAATGCATATGATCAAATCTTCATTAATATTTAATAATTAAAGCTGGTAAGGCAGATCATTCATCATTGTGGCAAAGACAAGCCAAACCAGTCATTGGTCGCAAAAATCAATTTTTAGTTATTAATACAGAGTTAAACAGTAAAATGAAAACTATTGGTAAAAGAATCATTTAAGTCCGACATTTCCTTATGAAGTTACAGGCATTTAAACATACATACCTTAAGACGTAATTGTATTTCATAATGTTTTATTTTTTAGCATATCCTCAAGAAAGCTAAAGAATGGCATGTTAACATAGAAGTACTGGCAGGTATGTTGTCTTTGGAAATCCTTATGGAAGCGACAAAATGTTTTTTTTTTTTTTATATTTGCTGCTTGCTGGCATCATCTTAAATTCTGATTAATATTAGGTGATTTTCTCTTTTCACATTGATTTTTATTGATAAGTGAAACTTTTTTTTGTAGAATTACGATTTGATCTTCCTGCAACTTACAAATTTCATAAACAGAAATCGGTAAGTTTTTGTAAATACTCACTACACATGAAATATTCATAAATCAAATTTGGTTTACCATCTCTATGATATCATAATCACATTTGTTGAAACACTTGTCGATCTATATACAAACCTATTGGCTGTTGCCAAACCACCAATGTCGCTGTCATGATTTCTTCCACTTTCTTTTAGGTTGACATTGAGGTAGATTTTATTAGACTGTCTTTCCCAGAAGAAAGTAAGCCATGTGAACCGAGGTGACAGTTGCATAATTAAACTGCAGTATTGATGATTGAAGAGTCACTGCTGCAAACCAAGAGCACTAGAAAGTCAGCATCTGAGGTCACTGTTCTTCTTCTAAATTTAAGGGAAAATTCATAGCTAAAGGCTTCGGCCCGAGCTTGTGCGCCGCAGATGGAGTCTCACTGGAAGCGAGGAGACAATCAATAAATAAATAAAATATAAATAAAGTAGAAAGTGCCTTTAGTCAGACCAAAAATATTAATTTGCCAATCCAAATAACATTATATTGATTGCCAATCCCTAATATTGTGGCTTTACTGAGCCATAAAAACCCTTCTCAAGTTCTCATGAATCTTACCAGGGATATTATTGTAGGTCCCTGATTGAGGAAAGTTGGCCCCTTGGTTTGAACCACCTGTTAGACTTTCGGAGCCCAGTCGACAAATATCTTGAGCCACCACTCAGTGAAATTGCACTTAATTTTGGCTGAGAGACTTAGCATGATATAGCTGGAGAGAGCCATTTGAGGTGAGGACAATTATGGCACATATCCTTATGAAACTAATATTCTGCAAGTAATATAAAAGTCTTGTCTACATTGATAAAAGTTTGTATACTGTACATCCGTCATTTATGTTTACTTTTTGTTATGTTAACATATAATATTGTGTGAAATGTAAGTCAAGATAAACTACAGTATACTTGTCATGTTAAAGTCTTTGTAATGTTTAGTTCAATTTTGTAAACAAAAAGGCACAAATAAATTACAGTAACCAGGGCATTCTATACTTTTCAGGCAAAATACTTGTTTATTCAACAAAATATTCCATGCATATTATTGCACATGTATTGGACAATTCAAAAACTAGCTAAACTTATGTCAACCTTGCCAATTGACTACACTCATTGCAACCAGAATCGCACCACTACTCAGAACCACAAGTTACTACTACTAGGTAGGTCTATTTGCCCAGACTCCCTACTGTAGTATTACAGAACCTACAACAATTTAATGCATATGGTAATTATCTATTGCATATGGTAATTAGCTATTGTTGGGTTCCTACTTTCTCATTCTTTTAGCTCATTTATTTGTGCTACTAGACTGACAATGATTGCTTACACTTGTAATTTACTACTGTACTACATTGTTTTCATCGCATAATTCTATATTAAACTTGTGTAACAGATCTTTAGTTTATCCATAGCTATGTCACCTACTAGAGGTAATGTTTTGATTGGTACTTGTGCATATAAGCTTGCAAATATGGATATTTTTTTCATTCCTGATGATGACATAATTAATGTTGAAGTATTATACTATCTTAGAACTGTTTACATTTTAAAGTTTATGTAAATTTCACAATTTGAAGTGTTATTGATAATGATCAACTCAATTAATGCTGTACAGAAGTAAAGCATTTAGTTGATAAATTTGCTTTCTAAATTACAGTATTTTACACTTTTACATCTCTAAGACTGCATATAACACATACAATAAAATACAAATAATTTATATAATACAATGCTCTTCACTCAAGTTCTTTTATCTTTGTGGAACCTAAATTTCCATGTCAAATTTATATACAGTACTTAAAAAGTCACATGACATGCAAGTATGAGCCATTCTGCAAATCTACTATTATTAGGGAAGCCACACCCTTTGCCAAACTTTTACATCTCTAAGACTGCATATAATACATAAAATAAAATACAAATAATTTATATAATATAATGCTCTTCACTCAAGTTCTTTTATCTTTGTGGAACCTAAATTTTCATGTCAAATTATTAGGGAAGCCACACTGGTTAAGTAGTGGAGTAGACCCTCTAATGAAACTTGGTGTCATGCTGTTGTTGTCTATATCGTCACAACCCCCCCCCCCCCACCCCCCCCCCCCCCCCCCACTTTCTCCCCAAGCCATCGTCCTCATCAGTTTCTCCAAACTGAGAATGACGGTTGTGTCCCATTGGCATTTGCTGATGACCCTTGGTCCGATTCACCAGCCAATACGTCTCCTCCCAAAGCTGCGTACATTTGAGATGCTGCAATGGATAATAGTGAATACATTTATATTTATTTAATCCAATATTAAACTAATAATAATAATAATACATGAATTTATACCACACACTTTGCCAAGGATACAATGCGCAATGAAAATAAATAAAAAGCAGGTAACAATTGGTGATCGATAATGACATAAGATGAAAGACACATTGACGGTTCAGCGAGATCTGGTTTGGAAACAAGAAGCATTTCGTAGATCACTGGGAAGACTAATGTATTCCAAATACTAGGTGAAGGAATTGAAGGGGCCCTATCACCAGCTTTCTTAGTAGACCAAGGTATAGAGACGTCGGATTGAGCGCACAGGTTTACGATCGAGAGTGCTGGGGTCAGCAAATTATTGACATCGCGAATGCTAGATATGATCGTGAAATGCATGTAATCAACAAAATTTGGTGATTTAACAACTGGAAAGAACATGATAGAAAGGGCCATAAAACATACAGATTTTTGAATAAGAGTTAAAATAATATTTCGTTAAGTGGAAGAATGCCAGCGATTAAAATAATTTGGTTTTTATCGGAGGTAAATTTAGCTAGGCTCTAGCACGGTAGACCACACTGCTGCACTGTCGGTTCGTGCTAGGCCTGGCTGGCGTCGGCCTATCGGCGCTCAGTAGCAGGGGATAGTTAGGTATTGGAAACTGACAACCGATCTAGTTTACAAATTTTTCAATTTACGAACACCCCTTGGTACCAAGGGGTACGTAAAATGGACGTTTTACTGTACTTACAATCCTGATTTGTTCTTTTATTTCTCCTTGAGAATGAGTCTTGTCTGTCAACCATGAAATCTGGTTCCAGTAAAGCAGCCTGAAGATATGAATGATAACAATGCTAAATCATAAAGAATATAATAGTTAATACAGTACTGCTTAAACAAATGTTTTTGGAAGATATCAAATCTAAATCTAACTATGACTTCTATGGCAAATCCTATAGACAGAAATGATGCTTCCTAGGATTCATATTGTCTGACATTTGTCTATGGATATACAGGAGATGTGTGCAGTGGTGGGTCCAGGAATTTGCTGAAAGGAGGATGGGGGTGCGAACCAAGGGGATGATTAGGGTCCCGGAATTAAAAACCCTGTTAAAGTTCATGGGAAGAGTTTTCATGGCCTAGTATGGCCCCAAAATGTGCTTTTTTAGACAACAATTGGCATCAACAATCAAAATAACATTATTTGGATAGGACAGGGTGTCCAGGCCTGTTCAACAGGAGCCGCCTGACACCACAGCTGGAGATGTATAAAATGTAGCATTTGGACATGTGTATTAGGTGTGTTCATAATTTCATATGTAAGTTGTGCACATTGGCCTTTTTTTACCATTTTTACTCCAATTCCAAGTGAAGAAGAGCCTAGGCCTTGCTTGTTTCCAGCATCTGTTGCACCACCCTGCAAGAGAGAATTACATGAATAACAATGCCTACATAATGGCTTATTTGACTGGTTCATTTTGTTTACGATTTTTCGTTGAGTATTATTTACACAGTGTGTATCGTGGTGACTATGCAGCCATTTTGTTTCGTTGAGTATTTACCAGTTTTTTATTTGACAGGTCTTCTGCGTTAAGTAGGATCTTACCACTGCGCTGGGGGTGGGGGCGTGGTTTAACGAAGAACGATCAGTCGAATACGGCCAATGCTAATTTAATGGAAATAACAAAGCCATTGGTGCTAAGGCATTACCGTGTACTCTACACATTTAACAAGTCTTTGTAAAGATGGATATTATGTTAATGATATCCATCGAATAAATGCCCCCTAAAATAAAATAAATGCCCATAGTGGCAGTTCGGCGCAGCAGTTGAGGTTTGGGCTTTCAAACGTAAGGTCGGGGTTTCGAGTCTCCGCTGTGCAGATTCGCTTGTGTCCTTGGGCAAGGCACTTTAGCTACATTGCTTCAGTCCACCCAGCTGTATCAATGGGTAACAGCAAACTGCTAGGGACTAACCTGCGATGAACTAGTGTCCCGTCCAGGGGAGTACAACTCTCATCCGCTTCACACTACAGAAACTGGGGATAAGCTCCAGCCCTATGAGCCCTTGTGGCTCGGAAAATAAATGCCCACTCTAGAGCCTAGACGTTTACTTTTTCCTCGAATCCCCCCCCCCCCCCCACAAATAACTGTAAACAAAACTAATGGAAGCAACATTATTCTCTTCTAGTAGAATTACATTTTTTCTAACCTGGATTGGATCAATAAGTCTTGATCATGCAATAACACATTTTGACAGCAATTATGTGTTCCACATTTACTGGGAAATTAAGAGGCATTTTTTAGTATAAAATTATCTTTTTTACACCAAAAATGCCTCCCTGCCATAAACGCCCCCTCAAAAATAAACACCTGGGGCGTTTACTCAAATAAATACGGTAATATTTAAGTACTGTAAATGGCAAACAGAAATAAAGGAATTACTGGTACCTACCTCTTTGATAATTTGCTTTTGAACTAAATTCTGGCGTGAAGTTTTGTGACAACCGACTGAAGCAAAGTGAGCCCAGATCTTATCAGAAGCAGAGCCAAAATCAGCAGGAGTCCTATGTAGTTGAAATTTAGCAAAAGTGTAAATAACAGAGTGAATCAGCAAACATACACAAAAATAAGTAAATTCGGAAAAATATAAACATTTTAATTTCAATTAATTAATTTTAATTTTAATTTTTGATTATAGTAATCAATAAATTTTACTGGTTGTAGAAATGTTTGTGTAAAGAGTTGCGCAAATTAAAAAGGTTCTATTATTGAAGAACTTCAAGGTTTCTCTCAAGTTCCACCTGTGACATTCCATCTGACGTAGCCACAGAACACCAGTTGGCCCGATGATGAGTCCTGGATTGGACGCTAAATATTGCTACTGAATAAACAAGTAGAAAAATAAACATAGAAAAGATTGATTTAATTCTTTGCATTGATTGAAAAACTTTGTTAAAATAATAACAATAACTGTTCAATAGGGACTTTTCGATTGAGTGAACGACAAGCACGTTCACGTCGACTGCAGGCGACCGCCAACGTGTTCACTGCTCATGATGATCCACTGCTGAAATCAGTTTCGATTTCAGTTGAAGAGGAGTCAACATGATGACTTTTTGAGCAAGGATCATGCCTTACCATCATGGCGAATCTTCATAGAGTCCAAGAAGCGATCCTCTTCGGATCTTTCAGCAATGTGCTTGACGATGAAAAGTTTGTGCTTTTTGTACAATGCTAATCGACCTGTAAACTGTAAACTTGTTCAATGTCAGAGATGAAATTACTTGAAAATTGCATAGAATTAGGCCTCTGCTTAGGCCTAGTAAGATCCTTTCAGCGAGTCCGGTATCGCCCATCTTGAAAAAATGACCTCATACAGTCAACAGGGCGAGTAGATTTGGGTCGACAGTGAAAACCGGGGTAAACGTGTTCTCGAATCTGGTAGTGCATGCGCAGTGCTTGAAAATGACATGTCAAGACGTCGACTATGTTGACGTGAAAATCGAAAAGTGCCTAATGCACGTTCCTGGACAGGTCCCTGTCTAGGTCCGTGTCCAGGTATGTTAAGGCTAGGTGTAAAACAAGTGAGCTTTATAATAATATTCAATCATAAACTGTGGCAAAGACGAGCCAAACCAGTGACTCTTTGCAAAACTGCTGGAATGCAACAACTTTTGAAATTTATTTTATTGCACTAAACGAAAACTTTATATATCTATACATCATGCTATGTTGTTATTTTCCAACTTTCAACATTAAAACAACATTTTCTAACAATTTGGTTATGGTTTCTGTCTGAGAAATTCCCTAAATTGTAAACTTTAAAGGCTGATTTCTTAAATACTGTTTTTTAACAGCTGTGTAATTAAACTATTGTAACTTCATATTTTACCACTTTTTAACTGCATTTTTTGCAAAGAGTGACAGGTTTGGCTGGTCTTTGTCACAATTCCTAAATATCTAAAGCAATGTACCTGCCCTCTGCATCTGGTAATTCAGCCTGAGCACCACGCTCCAATAACAACATGACAACCTGCAGGAAAAAAAAAAAACAATCGCACTAAAAGCTGACACAATATGTAATACAAGAGTGAATTTTAATTTAGTATTTAAAGTAGTAGAGTACACCATTTTATACTTGCAGTATATGTTTGTGTATTATGTGTTGCGTTGTGTTACATAAGCTATATGTTATGTAGGCCTATTTATCCGTGTCAGCTTTATTTTTTCATCATGGTTTACAAATTTGATATTACCTTGCCATGTTCTTGGAATGTTGCAGCATGTAAGGGTGTCCACAGTGTTCCATTATTTTGTTTATTTACATCAGCTCCACTGTCAATCAATGATTTTACAACATCATGGAAACCCCAAAACGAGGCTGTTATAACATAAGTGTGAACAATTTAAAATTAAATTAAAAATTGAATAGATTAAAGACTGAATACAGTGTGTGATTATAATAAGTATGACCCTTAAAAATACCATTACAAAATCACAATAAAACTTGAAAACTTATATTCTGTGTGGTGATACAGTATATATAAATATAAATTAAATACTTATTTCACTTTCTATTAAATATTTCTTTGTACTGTAAAAATGTTTTTATTTTTCCTTTTTATTTTTTTTTAATGATTTATTAGATTTTCACAATAGCTCTTTGTTTAGGGCGTCTGTACACCGATATGTTGGCTTGTTGTGATTGTGACTATGACTATCTTATTTATGTTATCATAACATTTGAATAGCTTACTTTGTACAGTACTGTACATTTGATTTAATACATGTATTCACTTATACTACTAGCTAGAGCGAGACAATGTGGATGCAGTGTCTGGCCCATGGACTCTGACCCTTGACCTTTTGATCATTATGCCAAACAATTTACTTTGCATCACTTGCCTCCACAATGATGGGAAGAAGAAAGCTAGATTACCTATGTAAAGTTGGCTTTGTTTCACTGCTTTATCATCCCCTTCAACCTCTACACACTCTGTCATAAATTTCTCCACCAACTGTAAATAAAAAACAATTATTAAATATATACCAGTAGTAAAGAAATGAGACATGATGCAATTAAAATTTTTTAATTGTAGTTGCTCTTTTCCAATGATGGCGGAACGTTTTTAAAAGTGGGGAGTGGGCATTTCATATGGTAATAAATCCAGTATGCGAGCGAAGCGAGCATCTAGACTGGGGTCAGGGAGCCACCAAGGCCCCCAGTGGAGGTCCAGGGGGAAGCCCCTTAGAAGCTACGAATATTGACAAAGTTTGGTGAATTGTATGGGCTCTGCCAGCATTTAATATAACATTTGACTTAGCCTATCATTTTCACTACAGTTTTTATTATACATAAATTCTGTAGTTAACCTTCATTTTAATAAATGGCCTAATTAGTATCTTATTGTTGTTTTTGTTAAATTATAGATAGAATTTAAATGTGGTCATATTATGTGAGTTTGATGGTTTACTGTAAGCCAATCAGTTACACTTAGGGCACATAGAAAAAATTATTAGATTATCACTCTCTTTTTAAAAAAAAAAGATTAGTGAGGGCGGTTTTTTTTTTTTTTAATAGGAACAATAGATCATTTCGCTTTTGTTTTTATCGATGAGGGAGGGGCTGTTTATATTTTGTCTGTAATAGCATGGAGGATAAACTAATTTCTCCACGGTAATAGTAAATATTGTATAAAAATTGGTTTAATTTTATAGCTTTTTTAAAGAAAATGTATTTCAAGTCACAAAATTGCATTGTTATTTTTATGCTTCTGAAATAATTGATGCGGCAAAAAAATTTTCTTTTTTATTTCCGCATCAATATTTCCCGAATTTTTGACGCGGGCGGGAGTGATAATCTAATAAATTTTCCTATTTGCCCTTTACATCTTTATTGTTAACAAAAACAAAACTAGATAATCGCACCATAAATAGTGCCAACCTGTGCCTAAATACAGAATTTACGCAAGGCGGGCGAGCGATTCCATTGTTTTCTTCTTGCTTGAGACGCATGCTTTACAGATTTCAATCAATAGAAAAAAAAGACCTGATTTAATTCAAATATTTAAAATTTTTAAAAATATTGATAGGATTGAAGAGGGAAAGCTCTTTCAAAATCTATATTCCATAAAACTAGGGGACATTCTTTAAAAGTCTATAAATCTAAACCAAATCTTAATGTGAGGAAAAGAGCATATGCGGTTCGGCTAGTTAATGATTGGAATTCACTACTTTAAGATCTTATAACTGCTGCAACTGTTAATGAAGTCTGGCATAGCAAAATATTGGTCTGACCACCATCTCAAGTTTCGCAGATATGTTTCGGAAGAGTTTGTTGTGATGACTCTGGAGGGACAAACGAGCTAATGCTCTAGTCCTAGGATCAAGGTAAATCAAGGTAAATATGGTACACAGTGGTTGCTCAATTTAAAAAGAAAACTTGTAATGTTTGTTTGAAAATGAAAAAAAAAAATCTATATTGTAATGTATTATAATAATAATAATGACATTGTATATCTTTTATTAACAATGTTTGTCACTGGTGCTGGGAGCAGTCACAAAACTGTTAATGAAGTCTGGCATAGCAAAATATTGGTCTGACCACCATCTCAAGTTTCGCAGATATGTTTCGGAAGAGTTTGTTATGATGACTCTGGAGGGACAAACGAGCTAATGCTCTAGTCCTAGGATCAAGGTAAATATGGTACACAGTGGTTGCTCAATTTAAAAAGAAAACTTGTAATGTTTGTTTGAAAATGGAAAAAAAAAAAAATCTATATTGTAATGTATTATAATAATAATAATGACATTGTATATCTTTTATTAACAATGTTTGTCACTGGTGCTGGGAGCAGTCACAAAAGTGGGTGGGGAGTCTGGCAGGGGGAAGCACCAGGCCCCCAGTAGAAAAAGTGGAGAGGCCAATGGCCCCACCATCCACGTTGTGTTGCTCTTTTTTGACTTGGGAATGGGGCCGAGTTGAATTGGGGCCGAGTTGACTGGGGTCTAGTTGACTTGGGGCCGAGTTGTCTCGAATTCTTAGGCAGGCAGGCATAGGCCTAGAACTATAGGCTGCCCATCATACTAGACGTCTAGCCTAGTAGGCCTACTACTGTAGTAGGCTGGGGCCTGTTTGGACAATGAACAAGAAATGGAAAGAATGCCAAGTGTTGTACTACTAGGCCTACAATACTAATATTACGAGCCAGGGGCCAGCCTAGGCTTAGATAGATGAAGAGAGATAAGTTCGGGCCTTGCTTGACCCCACTCCCGCCCTGAGTGAATTAGAATACTAGGGCCTAGGCGAATTATTAGGCTAGGCCTAGGCCTCTAGAGGCCTATCTAGGCCTAGGCCCAGGCTATGTGCTAGGCCTAGCACATGCATAATTTTGGCTGCCCACGTTTGTTCATAAAGCAATGAATTCCTCAATAAAATAAAACAGTTACCATTTCATCGCCTTTCTGAGCCAATGTGGATAGTTTTGGTAAGCTAATGCGTGCGTTTTTTAACTGAAACTGCAAATCTCGTAAAACCGATTCATCCTTAGAAACAGACGCTTCTACTTCTGCCATGTTTGTGTGTGACCATGACTGCCCTCACAGTTTCGTTTCTCAATTCGGCCTTTTGGATCCTATGATCTATGCGTGGATAGTAGAAAATTAGATTGAAATGTGTTTCTGAAAGTAAGTTTTAACCAAATAGTATGTTTATATCCTAAAGTATAAATACGAGCTATGTTAAAACTGCCAATTAACCAAATTCAGATCCGTAACATGCTTTTTTGCCAAAGAATTCATTCGCAATATTGGTGAAATTCGGCTTTATGGTTGTGATATCTGGTGTGCGATAGTCTTGTAATTCCCATCATACATTTGAACTTCCTCTCTGCCTTCGCTGAAAAACCAAAATGGTAGGGACTGAAAGGTGTACACTAAGATCTACTTAAATCTTCACTTTATCGTTCAATTATTTTCGATTTGGTTTAATGTTATTTTTGATATGATTTATATGATAATAATAAGCTGCGTATGTGTCTGTTTATGTTCTCATGTGTTTGCTCGAGATTAAAAGTATTGTACACAACTTTGCCTACTTCTAGAGGGGTTAGCCTTAGGCCTACCGATGATAAAGATTGGTCCGTGTAGCACAGGAGATGTCATCCCTGCATAGGCCTAGTAGTAGTAGTAGGCCTAGGCCTACACACTAGAGTAGGAGCGTTCCTTTTTTTTTTTTTTTTTTTTTTTAGAAAACTAAATTAACTTGTTTTTTATTGTGTACACAAACAAACTACCATCATTAACTCTTGTTAGTTAGGCCCTAGACTAGGCTAGGCCCTATTGATTGCATGTTTTATTTAATTACATATTCTCACTAATTAGTGTCTTTAATAAGCTGATAAATCTGTAATAATAAGCCAATAAAATCGGCTGGCTGACACACAAGGAAACAGCAACATGAAATGAAGCAGGGACCAAGTGATCTCCATGATGTAGGCCTAGTGTACACACTGCTGCTGGGTACCACCACTGGTTGTTTAGGCCTACTGTACCAAGCTAAAGCAGCTCTGCCCAAATTTTCAGGCTGTGTTCAGTAGCTGCCCCTGCCCCAGGCTAGCTTGTCTGTAGTTTCTATTCTTCTAGTTTGTATTGTATGTCACATTTTTCTAATGTCTTGGATGATGTTCAATCTTGTGTCACAGGCTAAACGTACCAAGAAGGTCGGTATCGTAGGCAAGTATGGTACTCGTTATGGTGCATCCCTACGTAAGATGGTCAAGAAAATTGAAATTTCACAGCACGGAAAGTACACATGTGTATTTTGTGGGAAAGTAAGTAAAGTATGTTTAATACCATCTGTAGAACTTAGGGGCTTGAGTGATGGCTAATGCTGTGTACTGTATGCACAACCTGATAGACAATAGTCACTAGGTTAAAAAATATGCCGTGGCTAGAGATACAGTACCGTATCGGAACTTCCAATTGCTAAAGGTACGGTAAATGATATTACGTCATGATTAGCCAATAGAAACGCCGATACATGCGTGACGTCATTCAGTGCACTGCTGCTGCAAGAGTAATGAGTGTGTTTTAGCAACGATCGAAGATTCGTTCGTTCGTTCGCGGGTATTGTTGATAAGCTGTGATTAATATTCTGTAGCCTGAGGCCCTATAGCAAATAAAAAAGATAGCAGTTTTGGTAGATTTGGCGACATCAAGCGAGAATAAACTATTTTAATAGTAGAAGCTAGGCCTTAGCTACCCCTGAAATCTCCTAAGCCTAGCCTAGTAGTACGCCTATAAGTATGCCCCTAGGCGGGTATTCGGGCTAAGCCTAGCCTTAGTAGACCATTCTCTATGGTGGACCATAAAATACGCAAGAATAACAGAAAATATTTTTAACCCAAACATTGTGAGAAGCCCCAATCGAAATACATGAAATGGGCCTGAAGTTTTATGACATAAATTTGATCGTAACTGTTCGCGCCACGTTTCTCATGATCGCGACGTCGACTTTGCAAAAAGCCAAAATCGAGTCGGTCATTTCTATTGGCTAATCATGACGTAATATAATTTACCGTACCTTTAGCATTCGGAAGTTCCGATACGGTACCGTATCTCTAGCCACGGCGTAAAAAATATATCTGCTGTACAGTACTATGTGTAAGTTAAATGGTGCAACTTGATCATTTTAGGAAGCCATGAAAAGGAAGTGCGTTGGCATTTGGCACTGCAAGTCCTGTAGGAGAACAGTAGCTGGTGGTGCTTGGAATTACAGGTATGTCAAACTTTCAAATTTAGATACAAAGCCTAATGTCTAATATTCAAGGGAGGGGGATGAGGGGAGTCACCACACAAGGTGATCAGATACATTATCAAATATTAGTGACCGATTTGTAGTTTTTACAGGAGGTCTTATATTTTAAAATTGGAAAAATAAAATGGAGGAAAAAAAAAAAGAAAATTGTATTCAGATTTGTGTTTGAGAGTGCCATTTCCGGTCATCTAGAGGTGCCATAATCATGAATTTTCTTACCTCTGATACACCCATGCTGAGGCTGAAGTACTCTAGACCCTCCATCTGTCAAAGTCTCGGCCCCTCTGGACGCCTTTTTTAACAATATGAGTATGGTAAATTAGAAAAATTACAACTGTGAGGACATATTTGATTCAATTTTTATTTTTCGGCGTTACACAATACTCAAATTC